GTAGTCTTTTAGTGTGATAAATGCTTGCGCCTCGCTGATGCAACTTATTCGGTCATCTAGGTTTAATTTTTGGGCGTTTGCTTTAGCTTCCTTATTGATATCGTGTTCTATTGTTTTGGGTGACTTTTTGTATGTTTTGGTTATGTTGTTCTTGAGTAATTTATTGTGTGAAGGAGGGCTTAGTTTGTATAAATTTCTAGGTTTGTCAGCTACGATAAATACATTTGCTGAATTTTTTATTTTAGTTATATCTTTTAGTTTTTTTTAATGCATCTTGTTTTTTATGGAATTCTATGTTTTCTAACAGAATAAAGAACGAATGTCCCTTAAACGGTAATTGTTTACAAAACAACGTAATATACCAAAGCACGATAAAATCACCAGATAATGAAGAAAAAGTATACATAGGAGTAACTGAAGGACCCTGGAAACAAAGAAATTATGCACATAAAACATCTTTCACAAATAGTAAATATGCGAACAGCTTTCTAAATATATCTGGGAAATTAAAAACAAAACGCACACCACACCAAAATAAGGAAAAGATTATCAGCATACAAAAACCAATCAAAAACTTACAAACTTTTCTTGGAGGAAAAAATAGCTATTATTACCTTCCCAGACCAAAATAAATTATTAAATAAAAGATCCGAGCTCATCTCAAAATGCAGACATGAAAACAAATTTTTACTACGTTACTTAAAAATCGAAAACGGAATAAATAAAATAAAATAAAAATAGAATAAATAAATAAACAAAATGACAATAAAATAAGCAAAATAATTTAACCCAAACAAATTACCAAATCTCACCAGTTAGAATAGACGAAATAGAATAAAAAATAAGAAAGAAAATCAATGAATCCAAATAAATAAAGTAAATAATAAACAAATTAGCAAACCTTTATGACCAAAATATTAGACTATAAAAATCAAACCAAAAATCGGACGAAAAAAATACTTATAACTGTTATATAACGAAAAAAAAATACTACGTTACTTAAAAATCGAAAACCGAAAAGAGAAAATATACAGTATGACAAATAAATAATAACAAGTAAAATAAATTGATCTAAATTCATCCAAATAAATAAACTAACAAACCGATCCCGATAAACTAACCGTTAGAAAAAAACGAATAAAGATAATCAATCCAAATAAATACATGAAGTAATAAACAAATTAAAAACTGTTCCCGCCAAAATAATAGTTAGAATAAACTACAACAATCAATCCCAAAATTGAATAAATAGCTTTAATTATCTTCCTAAACCAAAACAAAACTATTAAATAAGTGATATAAACAAATTTTTACTACGTTAATAAAAACACCGATTAAAATAAAAAACAAATAAATATATAATATAAGAAATAAAAATAAAAAATAAATAAAACAAGCAAAATAATTTAATCCAAATAAATAAGCAAATAAACGACTTCCAGTAAAATAACCGCCAAAATAGACTACCCACAATGCATCATTGACCCGTATATATAAATAGCCGAGAAAAATAACAGCACTCGTGGCCTGACGATTGCATCTAGCAGGAAATAGAGTGTCGCCTCTAAATGTTGACTTCTATGTTTCATTTATATATATATATATATATATATATATATATATATATATATATATATATATATATATATTATAGCTGGCCAGTCATATTCGAGGATACCCGTCTACTAGGGCGGCTAGCCAACCCCTATTGCAGATGCTCGCTCAGGCACAGTTGTGTTTGTTCAACATCCACAGAGTCCACCTACAGTTTATACTGCAACAGGCTGAGCAGACCTTAGTTACAGTTTATGGGAAAGAGCGTGTTATCTAGCATGATCAACAATCTGATCACGACCAGCAGGCTCAAAGCCTTGGTTACAATGACTTGTGACTTTGTGCAAGCACAGCTATCGGCAGTCCTCAATAGTACTGTCTATCCTATGTCACTCACAAGGCTTTGGTCAATCTGTGGTATAGTTTTCAGGTACTTCCCAAAGGTGCTACATACTGGGGATTGTCTCCTTTCTGACAAATTGACCATGTTGAGATTTGAACCTAGGTCTCATGGTCAGAAAGTGAATGTACTAACTATTCTACCACATGCCTTTCTCTGTGTTTATATATATATATATATATATATATATATATATATATATATATATATAAATTTAATTAAAAAACAATCTTAAGGGTTCATTGATTATATTTTATTTCCCCAGGAAAGTGATTTTTCCCTGGTTCCTCAGATCACATTTCCAAGCATAAAATTAATTGTTTCATGCTAAACACAATCATCAGACCTGATGATTGCATTTAGCATGAAATATATATATATATATATATATATATATATATATATATATATATATATATATAAATTAATGGATTTATTTTTAATCTGATGCCACATTTTATTTATTAAACAGTGTGCATTTTGATTGCCCTGCACATTCCATTCAAGAAATTCTGCGTCCTCCAGCAGAGTCAGATATTGGACTTGAACCCCACTTTTTTTTTTACTTTTCCCCTACAAAGGGCACACAGGTTCAATCCCTGACAGTGGACACATTTTATTAAGTAAGATTTCCCAAATGGGGCATCTGTTTCAAATAAGTGTCCACTATAATAATGGAGAGAAAGAGAGACTAATACAGTGGATGATAATTATATAATTTTCACCAATGCTAGTAATTAGTTTTAAGCTGAGTTCAAAGCTAAGAATTCAAATACTGATTTTCAAAGTTAACTCTTATGGGTCACACTACTTGGCTTTACCAAAAGCACCTCTTAGGCTGCACTATTTAAGTCTATAAAAAGGCAAACATATTTTCTCTCTTTCTCTTTTTTTCCTCTTGCTTCCAGATGTAGCTGAACATAGATAAATAACACTGCCACTGGGGCACATTTGCTTCCTTGGCCCTCTCTTGACTAAACTCTTGTACACATACACATTCTCATGGCTAGTTTCAATGTCTTCTCCTTTGATTTCTATTGTCTACAGATTGGTCCAAAAGTCTTGTCACCTCCTACCAATAAGTAATGAGAAGAACAAGTAATACAGTACTACAAAGTACATGTATATGCATTAATTGTTGTTTGCTTTAAATTCCATATTTTGTGTTACTTACTTTTACCTGAACATCATAAAATCCTGCAGCATTCTTTTTCATTTGAGAGATTGTTTTGCACCAATTTTTCTTTTCTCCATTTAGCCATGTTCCAGACTAAAGTTAGCAAAGATAATTAAATTTCCTGCCATATCTGGACTTTCTTCTTTTGTATATGTTTATTACTTAACTGCATTCAAGGTTATGTGTTTTTAGTTAGGGATTTTGGTTCAATCCCTGAAAGCAGCAAGAGAATCCCTAAAATCTGTTGTCTTTCCTTTTTGTGATCACAGATCTCTTCACTTCATTGATTTCTTCATGTTCCTCAAGGACTAAGTATTGCAAGACATTTTGGATCGCTTTCACTCAAGTTCTGTTGCCATTATAAACCATCTCGTCATATAGAGTCAACCAGTTGCCATCATGATGGATATGTTCTCATGTGGCTGATTATCTAGCGTGATCAACAATTTGGACAAGACTGTCACACTCAAGACCTAGGCCATGATGACTCGTGGCTTTGTGCTAGCACAGCTATCGACGGCCCTCAAGAGTTCCGTCTACCCAATTTCACTCATAGGGTTTGGGTCAACCTGTGGTATGGTTTTCAGGCACTTTCCATATATATGTGTGTGTGTGTGTGTGTGTGTGTGTGTGTGTGTGTGTGTGTGCGCGCGCGTGCGTGCATAAAAATAGATATAACTAAAATATATCTGTAAAAAGACAATATGAATAAAGCAAAAAAGAAAACTTATCTTAACCGATGAAAAATTAAATTACATTTAAACTACATCATTTCAAATTGTCTTGACTTTCAGTTCGCCTGAAGTATATTTATGAGCGTTCTGAAATTTTAACATTTTAAAGAACTAACGACATTTTTACTTCTGTTTAAAATACTTGTTATAAAATAAAATCTTTACATTTTCCTTGATAAAGCCCGTCCATCAGAGGACGAAACACATCGGTTAAAATAAGTTTTCCTTTTGTCTATAATCAAGTCGACACTAGTATTTCAAAGACCGATGCAAAATCAAAATAGGGATGATCGTATTAGACTTGTGTAGGGGAGTTGTAACTCTGAGTAAATAATTATAAACCCCCTAACATTTATATATACAAAAATATTCATAGAAAATGAGAAATAGCAAGATGTGGAAACAACAAATGGAATATTATTTATTATCTGGTTGTTATGTGTTGTTGGAGACACAAGAAAAAGTAATATTGAGTAAATTGTGAGTTGGGATTAAATATGGATCGGAATCCGACAGAATAATAAGATATATATATATATAGATGTGTGTATTGAGTATCTAGATAATTTAGTTAGAAAATACAAAAAGTGTCTGGGATTTTCTTACTTCGAATTTTTGTTGAGTACCAAAAGATAAATGTTACTATTATGGCATGTAAAAGGAAAAGGAGATGAAATTTTTGTTGACGCACGTGTTAACGACCTGTTCGTGTGAACTGCTTGTCTGATAGTGAGAATGCCACGTGTTTGTGTTTGTAGAGGAGAAAAGTGAGGTCGATTCTTATTGGTTTAAAATTGAGGGAATTGATGATAATTATAATTACTATAATTATTTTATGATAATTATTTTTGACACTATAATTTTTATTTATTTTTTATCAACACGACACCTGTAATATTATTTATTTCCTCTGAAAGTCAATTTTTGAACCACCGTTCTTTAATGTTTCAATAAATTGTCTTACTGACTCTTAAGCTTTTATAGAGAAGTGTACAGTGCCTTGGCTCTTATGTGCTAGAAAATCAAGAACCATTTTTTTTCCAAAACCGAGATAATGGAAATCATTGTCAATTTTTTCAGAAAAAAAAAACACCCTCAAAATATTTTTAATGTTTCTTTTTTGTGTTTCGTACAGATTTTGATAATGACAATGTAATTCAAATGAATGACATAAAAAAGACAATGAAGTGTCTGAGTGATGCCCAGGGTCTTCACGAGGAGGACCAGCTCACAGAGGAACAAATGGAATTATTAATTGAAAAGGTAACAACATTTTTTTTTTTTACCTGTAATAAGTTGTTGAGAATTTACCTCTGAAAATATCTGGAGTACAAATGATGAAGTGTCAGTACCTCCAAAAAAGTGATACCGAGGCGATATATTTTAAAAATGAAAAATCTTTCTTGAAGCTTTTATTGTGGTTTTAGTTGCAAGTTTATAGATTAAATTTAATATTTCCAATAAGCAAAATATTTTGCTGTATTTCAAATTAAATTTACATTGAAGGGAATTAATTTTTTATCATCGGCAAAATCGCCAAAATCCTTCATATTCACAAATGTCATCACAACATAATTCTCTTTATTAAAAATATTTCAAAAATAAAATATACGTTATGTGAGAAAAATTAACTGACTGAATGTTTAATTAATCTGAATTGAAACAGTGTTAAAATGCCTTTCTGCAATATTTAAAACTAAAATTAATATTTGGTTTAATTCTGATTAATTAAACTTTAAAACAACTATTTTTTCTCAAATAATGTTTCAGAAAAGTATATTATATTTTTGAAAAATCTTTAATAAGGAGAATTATGTTATGTTGACAGATTTGTCATTATGAACGATTTTATAGATTTTACTGATAATTAGAAAAAATCATTCCAATCAATTTAAATTTGTTTTAAAATAGAGCAAAGTATTTTGCTTATTGAAAATATTAAATTTAATCTATTAGCATGAAATTAAAACTAAAAATAGAAGCTTCAAGAAAGATTTTCTATTTTAAAAAATTAATTTCAAACCTCAAGTATAGTTGTCTTGGGAGGTATACACAAACATATACATGCATATATATATATATATATATATATATATATTCTGGTATGAACGTTATTGAACAATGCATTAGGGAACAAAAAATGAATATTATTAGACAACTTATTTCCCTTCATTATGTTTTTATTCCTTACGCTTAAGTAGCAAATCGCATGAGGAAATACGGACTCATATTTTTCGCTTCGTTTATGTGGTAGCTACCCATCAAAGAGATTAATATAACCAAGCTGGTGGAAATTATTTTCAGGGTTTCATTTTGATAGTTGCTTATCTCTTGTTAGTATCACATTGATTTGAATGCTAACGCCAAATAACCTTGATTTTATTACTAACTGTAAATGGTCTATTCGAGCGCAAACCATTTTCGATTATCTGCAGTGACTTCTCCATAATATTCAAAAAGCCTTTTTTGCGTTTGAAGTATGATTTTACCTTTCAAAATTTTAAAATCAAAAAGGCATCAGATGCCGAAAATGTTGCTTATTTTCTTCCATCCTGAACATTAAAATGAATAAACAAAAATGTCAATTCTGAAATTTTTTTTAAAAAATGGTTGTTGATATGGCAACAGTTAAAATACAATTAAAAACGCTCTTTGAATGACGTCAAAAAAGCTAAATGCTCCTAATGGCATTTCATGATGAAAATTGAACGTACTTTTAGGGTCTAACTTACCTGGCACAGGGCTCGTCCCTGGGCTGGTAAGTATCACTGATATGACCAGCTTAGACCAACTTGGGCAAGCTATGACCAGCTAAGACCAGGTTTAGACCAGTGACCAGAGTGGAAACATTCGGGTTCCCCACTTTAAAAACTGACCTTGTGTCACATCCTGACTCAGTGGGGGGTCAAGTAAATAGCTACTTTTAGGGTCTAACTCGTTACAGTAATAGCATCTTGTCAATTTCTCTCTCTTCGTAAAACTTTTCTTTCCAAATAATTTCTCAGAAAATAAATTTTGTACGTTTGCCTCGTGTTTTCCACAGCAGTTTTGCTAAAGCACTGAGTGCCTCATATTTGTTACCAGATTAAACTAATCTTGGATGTGGGTGTCAAAGCATAGAGCATTCATTAACTAGCATGTCAATGGTTTAAGATATTTATTCTGGTTTTCTACCACAGGTGATTGAAGAAGCCAGTATCGACACTGAAAGAGGCATTAGTTTTGAAGAATTTTGCACTGTATTGAAGAAAATCCCATACTTCTTGGAGTAAGTATAAAACAATGTTTAATTTTTATGCTGTTTTAAATTGACCTTCAATTTAAAGACATCGCTTGTGAATTCCCCTCAAAGGCCAAAGATTTAGATTTATAGTTTTCTTACATGAAACCTTGTAAATTATTAAATTTCGACCAACATTTCTTTCATTTTATTTCTGTTGGTTTTATCACAACTCTCAGGTTATCATCATACGATCGTCAGAGAGTGCAGATTAAAATAAAGAATTAGCTTTCAGTGAGATTTGAACTCACAGCATTTATCTTTGGAAGTTTTCTTTCCGTATCATTAAATTACTGATTCGCTACGAAGGTTAACCAGCCATTCAAATTCACCCACATGGCTATATTCTTTATTTCCCTGCTGCCTTTCTTCTGCGTTTACATTTTACACTGATCGTATTAAATGCGCGGTTACTCCCACTTAGTTTGCCAAGACGTCGTTAGGTGGCACTGTTAAATAGCTATAAAAACGGGACACTTCCTGATTCTTCCTCTTTTTCCTTTCAACATGGAGATTTTTATCTGTTGCCCGAAGTCTCTACGTCGGTCTGATTGACAAATTATTGTTCAAGTAAGTTTTATTTTGTCTACGTTCGTCAATATTGTATTTTTGTGTATTTATTGTAGTTTTTTTTCGTGAATTCTCGTCTATCGTTTTGTTTGGATTTTTTTGGAGCTATGTCGTAGGAACGCCAGCATTATGGCGCAATCTCAGTTTATTGAATCGACACCTACTGCAGCAAGCCCGTCGGCATAGAACCCCCTCCCAAAAGGACCAGACTATTATAAAAGTCTTAAAGGTAAGTTCGAAGAATTTATTTCCAAGAATGAACTGTTATCGGTGCCGTCGCTTCTAGAGGCGGTGAACACGAAAACTATTCCCCTTTTGGCTACGAATGTGAAAACACACAAATTGAGCCGTGTCAACAGGGATTGCATGGAGGAAGCCCTGAAGATCCTCAATATTGGGGCCAAAGTTCTAGCTCGTCGAAGTAACGCAATGTGGGACATCCTGTTTGCAACCGAAGACTCTGCAAAAGCTCTGGCCGGCAATATATTAACAACGAAGTCGGTCAGATTGCAAACGGAATATCTGGGAACAAGAAAAGCAAGGCTGACTTTGCATAGAGTGTCCGTGTTCATCATGGAGGACCACCTAGGTTTCTTCTTTGCGAAATTTGGACAAGTAAATGATGTCTCTGCAGTAAAAAGCAAGGCGAGAATAGCGACTGGTGATTTCGAGGTTTGGGTGACCATCAAAACAAAAATTTCATGGACATCCCAAATGACTTGTAGCGGCCGGCAAATCTATGTCGTAGATGAAGGCTGGCGTCCTCTCCGTTGGTTCTGTGGTGCCCGAGGACACCTTTCAAAATCATGCCCTGGAAAGAAAACTGCACCAAAATCACAACCCCAACCAACTACAAGCATGCGCAAAGACTCTAAAGCACCTGGTGGATGGATAGAAGTGGTGAAGAAGGGTTCAAAAACTGGAACTACTTTCCACCAACAGGATGTCACAAATGACGCACAGAAACCGGCCTTAAAGCAGAAGCTTGAACTCAAAAACGATCAGCAACAACAGCAGAATGTCCCAACTGGAGGTGGAATACAAGGATGCAGACCAGCAACAAGAACAAGATCTTGCTGCTGATCAACAAGAGCAAGAGCTTGTTGTTGAAGCCCAGGAAGCGGAGATGGAGGAGATGTTCCCACCTCGGTCTTCCTCTTTTAAAAGAAGGAGAGAGGAAGAAGAGAGGGAAAAGGAGAAAATTTCTAATCCGTCCCTGCTTCCCCAGCCCCCCCAAAAAGACCAAGTAAACCAAGACAAATCTAGGAGCCTCCTTCTTCCACGTCTAGAGCTCCACTTACCCCCTCTCTTCTCCCAACTCACCCCCTTCCAATACACCTCTTTCTGACGCTACACCGTCTCCAAACACCTACCAAAAGAAGACATTCCTTAGTGGGGGACAAAATGTTAAATCGACAGACAGGTTCTCGAGCGGGGTCTCTCACACCAAAAAAAGGCCCTTTTAATACCACTTTTTAAAAGGTCGACAAAAGACCCAAGGAACCTTTCGAAGGCCCTGGGAATCATAACCTGCATTAGGCAATCGGGAAGAAACCTGAAAGTTTGGAATCATCTTCTGGGGGTAAGGAAGCCTTTCCAAATATTAGGATGGTGGAGAGAGGAAACACCTGAACTTAAAAAGCTACAAAATTTCTGTGCCGGGAGGGCCCCTGTTATTCTCCATCCCGCGGACGTCGGCGGAAATGTCCTAGATGGTCGTATGACAGAGTTGAGGACAGGAAGCCTGGGGTAATATGTCGGGGTGCTTACTTCCGCAGATTTCCGTCCAGTCTCTGACTAAGGGGATTGACTTAGAAAATGTTTCTTAAGCTAGCTAGCTTGAATGCGAGGGGCTTGAGAGATTGGAGTAAGGCGGCCCGTTTTCTTCGTGATCTCTTGCCCTTCATTGTGGATGTCGCTACGATTCAGGAGAAACACTTTGTTCACAAAGTTGATGCTCGTGTGCTGTTCTAGCGACCTTGTTGTCTATTCAGCATACAAGGACCACCAGACCAGAGGTGTTTCCTTGCTGGTTAAACGTACCCTGGGTACAAAGGTAGACCTAGTCCACGTCGATGCGGAGGGCCGGTTGATCGTGGCCGATATTACTGTGAACAATAGTTCTTTTCGAGTTGTTGCGGTTTATGCACCCACCGATCGAAAGGTGTGTGGCCCATTTTTTTCGTCAATCAGGGCCGTTCCTGGTGGTTTATTCGCGCTTAGTCTTAGTGGGGAACTGGAAGGCCATCCTGGACCCCGATATAGACAGGGGAGGGGAGCTAGGGGGTCATTGTGTGATCGTAGCTTGGTTGATCTGATCGACGAGTTTGGACTCGTCGATAGATACAGGATCGATCAGCCTAGGCGGGCGACGTGGACGTGGGCACGTAATTGGCCGTCTACCCAGGTAGCCAGCTAACTGGATAGAATGTTAGTGAGAAGGACCAACATAGACTTATTAGATTGTCCCACTGGTTAGGCTATTCGGACTATAGACTCGTCTGTGCCCAAATAGCGTTAGTTGCTAGGCCTAGAATGGCTGGACACTGGAAGTTCAGTCTGTCTTTACTGAACAGGCGGGACTTCCAGCAACAGCTAATTAGACTAGTGCAGGCGATTATTGGGAATAGGTGGTGGGTGAGTCTTAAGGATAGGATTAGGTCCATCACCATCGAACATAGCCAGCGGCTCGCACTAGATAAGGCTAAAAAGGTGAAGACATTTAAAGATAGTCTGTCCCGGGCGGAGGCTGGGGGTGGATACCCTAGAGATAGGTTTAGCTAGACAGGCTCTTGAGCGATCGACTAGCGAGTGCTAGAAGGGTCAGGTAGTTAGGCATAGGTTAAACAAGATGTCTAATGAAGCCGTGAACATGGGCGGAGAATTGCGCAAGGAAGAGATCGGTCGAGGTTTTGATCGATACAGTCGGGAGGTCAAAACCCCGGAGGGGCGTACTTTGACGTCGACTGACGATATGTGCGCGATGTTTCGGCGGCATTTCGAGAGCCAGTTTATCAAGGAGCCTGGTCTCTGTGGCGATGAGTTTCGAAGTTATTTGGTTAACTTTGCTCGGCTTTCGCCGAGTGAAGCGGCTAGCTGCGAGGGTGAGATCACAGAGTGTGAAGTCTACTTGGCATTGAAGAGGGTCGGCAGTAGCAAATCTCCGGAACTTGATGGTTTACCCTATGAATTGTACTTGATGCTGTCGCACATCTTTGTGCCGATTTTGACTGTTGTGTTCAACAACTGGTTTCAGCAGATGTCCATCCCCAGTCGGATCACCAGGGGTGTGGTCACGCTGTTGAAAAAGGGCAAGGATGGAGGGCGGGAATTAGATGATTACAGGCCCATAACTTTGCTAGACACAGAGTTAAAGATTTTGGCCAAGATCCTGACGGAGCGTTAGGCAGTCAGTTGCCGAGAATCTGTTGGGACCTAATCAGACTTGTGCTGTGAAGAGACAAACAATTCAGAGCAACCTGCATTTGATCCGCACAATCCTAGAGGGTGTAAAAGACGACAAGCAAGCCGCGCTTGATCAATTTGGAACAGTCCAAGGCATTTGATAGGGTCAATCATCGGTACCTGGCTCCTGTCCTGCAGGCCGCCGGATTTCAACCCGACTTCTGTAAGTGGATTAGCCCCCTATATCGCTCCCCTAGTGCTGTGGTACAGGTGAACGGAAAGCGGACGCGCGCTTTTGCATTGTCTCGGTCGATTCGTCAGGGTTGCCCACTGTCGCCCCTACTTTATGCTTTGGCATTGGAGTCTCTGCTTCGCAGGCTGAAGGACGGGGCGAGCAGTCCGGTCCTATGTCGAATCGCTGTCACTGGTGGAGCTCGAGCCAAGGTTTCCACGTACGCCGATGATGTATCCATTTTTGTGTTGTGTCGCAGCAACATTGAGGTGGTACAGAAGGCGCTTGAACAGTATGAAAAGGTCACGGGGTCAAGATTAACCGCAACAAGTCTTCCGGCCTGCGATTAGGTTCCTGGAAGGGGGTCGCTCTTCCGGGAACCTTCGGTTGGACTGACGGTCCTGTCCGTATTCTTGGAGTGTGGTTTGAACCCGACTTCCAGCTGGAGAAAAATTGGTCAGAAGTACAGGCAAAGGTTGGAGCGTCAGTCGGGACTTGGCTCTGAATGAAGTTGTCCTTGAAGGGTAGAGCTGAGGCGTGTGCCACTTACGTCTTTCTTCTTATTCTTTACCGCTTGACTGTACTTCCTCTTTGCAACGACCATAGGAAGGCGATCGAGCGCTTGTTGTTCATCTTTTGTAGGGTGGTCGCAAGCAGAAGGTCCGCAAAGAATGCTGTGTCCAGCATTCGTGTCATGGAGTGGGGGGGACTGGTAATGTCACTTGGTGAGTCACCGACACGTCTCGTGGTTGGTTTGCCTACACCAGGTTTTGACTGAGGA